CAAATGCTGATCTATTCCCGGGTACAAATCATCGCCGAGGTCGCAACCACTACTTCGTACTGTTGTGCCCAGCGCGGGCTTGCGACTAGTTGGTTTGGAGGTGACAGCGTTGCGAATGACCGAGGGTCCTCGACGTCTGTCTCACCGTCCAGGAGCGACACTGACTCACGCTGCTATCTGGTGCTCACGAGGTGTTTGTCGCGCTGAAAACGGAGCGTCTCTGTAAGTTTGTATCCCTGGTGATGGTCGTGCCTGGAGAGCACTATATAAGTGGTGCTCCTCAGGCACAATCTTCCTCAGCCTACTCAAGCTCAACTGATGAGGGGTGAATTCCCCGAAACACTGTGTATTGAGCAGGGAGTGGTGCTTTCTTGCAGGTTTGCCGAGTCGAAGGTTCGATGGACTTCTCGTGTGCTCTGGATGGCAGTCGTGAGTCAGTCAAGTGTCAAGTAAAGTCGGCGGAATAGCGCGAGCTCCGGTGTGGGGAGCAAACCCTTTTCTATTCCCGGGTAGATTGCTAAATCCCGAAGCAAAAACATTCCAGCCCCTGCCATTACCGGCTACCAGTCACCCATTTGTCTGCTTTAACGCTAGATCAATACGGAACAAGGTCGCGGAATTAACTGACTTCTGCTCGACGTGGGACCCGCTGTTCGTTTCTATTACTGAGACATGGCTGCACGGAGCTCAAATTTTCTCTATCCCAGGATACGACTGTTATCGAAGAGACAGACCTACAACCGAAAACAAAACAAACAGGTCCGAACTTTTGGCGTATATTGGAGTTGCTCTTCTGGTGAAGTCTGGTGTATTTCCTTCTGTTGTACATCGTTCGGACCTTCACGCTCCAAATTTCGAAGCTACGTTTGTAGAGATTGAGTTTCCGCTGAAGGGTACCGGAACACAGACATTTGGATCCGGGAAGTCCCTGCTAATTGGATCCCTCTACCGCCCACCCTCGAACACGGCTGCCGCCATTGATACATTTTGTAACTCTCTCCAACGCTGTCTGACTGTTGTCAAAGCTACAACATCTGCAGTAGTGTTGATGGGGGATTTCAACGCTAGGTGTTCAGACTGGGAGGGGGACATTACCGACACAGCAGGTCACCAATTGCGATGCTTGCTTAAGATGTTTTCTTTGGAGCAATTGGTAAACTTCCCCACTCACGAGTCTGCCTCGGGCCTTGGAGCGGCTCTGGATCTTGTAATAACGGATATTCCCCACGCCATTGACGACCTCCATGCTGAAGCACCTATGGGCCAATCTGACCACTGTATTGTTGTTGGTAAAATTAAAATGTCACAGTCCCCGCGGTCTCCTGTCTCTGAGCAGAAACAGCTTCCACATCGAAGTAACCTTGCTTCATTGAACATCTCATCCGTGCCGAATGAAACGGCAGTTGCGCTCAATGAGCGTCTATTCCATATTGACTGGGAGGCTGTGCTCCAAATACATCGGGGTGATCCATCCCTACCTGCAGATATGCTGTACGACACTTTGGAGGAGATACTGCAGTCCTATCTAGAGCGACGCAAATCGACAATCCGATGCACACCCTCGAAATCTGCCCAAACACCTTGGCTAAGACCAGCATTAAGGCGGTGTTTACATGAGGCGTTTCAACCCGGGTTGAGTTTGACCCGGGTCAGATTTCAACCCGCCATGTGCATAAAATGAATGGCGCGTTTACATGACGCATTGCGCTTGACCCGGGTTGAAATTTCGCCCCGGGTTGATTTCAACCCTCCCCCCAGGGTGAGGGTTGAAATCAACCCGGGTCAAGAAAATCGTACAAACGTACTTCTGTGCGTATCTCGCGACAGGTTTGAACGGCACTGCAGATGCAAATTTCGCGCGAACGGATTCACGTGACCATACAGGGCTGTAGAAGTGGACTTTTGGCGGCATATCAGTATTTGACCCGGGTCAACTGCCTTCATGTAAACGCTCACCTCTTTTGTCTATCGTACAGACTTTCAACCCGGGCTGAACTCGACCCGGGTTGAAATTTCTCATGTAAACACAGCCTAAGAGAACAAATCAAACGGAAGCGTGACTCGTACAGTGTGTACAGGAAGTATCAAACCCCTAAAAATCAAGCTGTGTATAAGGCGGAACGGAATAAGACCCGTAACCTCTCGCGGCTGGAGCACCGCAGATTTCTCCGCACTCTCAATTCATTCTCCCAAAAGGCCCAAACAACATCACCGAATCTACACAATTTTATCCGAAGTTTGCGGTCGGACTCCACCGGAAAACCCACTGTATCACGCCTCACCGTCCGATGAGCTGACATCAAATCACCTGACGACATTGCAAATGCCCTAAATAAGCAGTTCATTGCATTTGGTACTCTGGATAACCCTCAGTGGACGGTCCCGCCTTTGCAGGACGCCTCGACTGCGCCGCCGCTCACCTCTATCTTCACCACGCCCTATGCCGTGCATAAATGCATCAAGCGTCTAAAGCTCCGGAAAGCTGCGGGACCTGATGGAGTTACACACGAGCTGCTGAAATTGATTGGCCCGTCGATATCGCTTCCTTTGAGTCTGCTATTCAATCTGTCATTCTCCACCGGTATTTTTCCAACTGCCTGGAAAGCTGCTGTCGTCATCCCGCTGTACAAAAACAAAGGCGCAAGAACGGATCCGACGAACTATCGTCCCATATCCCTTCTCTCAACGATATCAAAGCTGTGTGAGCGAATAATATATGACAAGTTATATGCACATGTAGATCCATATCTCCATCAATCACAGTCCGGATTCCGTCGAGGTGATTCAACAGCCTGGCAGCTACTTCGAGTTGTTCAATCCCTGCATGACAATCGCCATCGCAGCGAGTACAGCCTAGTCTGCTTCTTCGATTTATATAAAGCCTTTGATACTGTGTGGCACCGTGGGCTGATGGCCAAGATAGCATCATTCTCGATTCAAGGACGCATACTGCGGTGGCTGGAGAGTTACCTGTGTGGTCGCTCACAGCAAGTGAGTATCTCGGGTCAATTGTCCCAGCCTGAATGCTTGTGTTCTGGTGTCCCCAGGGATCAATTCTGGGGCCCCTGCTTTTTCTAATGTATGTGAATGATATCGGTGCAATTCCCAACACCTCGCTATATGCGGACGACACCACTCTGCTGGCTAGTCACCGGCCGCTCCCCGTCGCGTGTCAAGACCTGCAGGTAGGAATAGACTGTGTGGTCAAGTGGATGCGAAGGTGGAAACTCCGGCCGAACTCCGCCAAGACCGAGATCATGTGTGTCGTCCCCAACGCGTCATCAGATGTTGCACATCTTCAAACTTCTATTTTCCATTTCCCAGATGATCCTACCCCGATACCTATAACCTCTCGTCACAAGCACCTTGGCGTTACACTTGATAGCAAATTGGACTGGTCCCACCATTTCCGGAATCTGGAAAAGCGGGCAAGCTCAGTCGTCGGTATTCTTTATGGCCATCTCCCCCACATTTCACCAGAATGCCGAAAGACCTTTTATCATACATACGTTTTGCCTATTTTCTTGTATTGCTGTGTGGTGTGGTGTGGCGCTGGTAATGGCCTCTTTGCAAAGCTGGAGATTGTGCATCGACGAATTCTCCGGGCAATACTTCGTTTGCCGCCCGAGACCAACATAGCCGTTCTCTATGAAAATTGCTGTACATTTCCTCTGAAACATTACATTGACCGATCCTCCTGCGTATACATTCACAAAATCAAACTTATCACTGCCCCTCAGCATGTGCAGCATTCCTTAAACTGGTTCAATGAATCCTCAACAAGCCGGAACTCGCTTCGTTTCCCGATTGCAAGAAACAATTCTATGAGCAAATCGCCTGTATTCCTAGCATACCGATTATGGGATTCTCTTCCTCAGCAATTAAAGTCCAGCAACACCCTCAATGCGTTTTTAAGCTTGATAAATATACACGTACGTCGATCTTCATTTACTAATCATTGATTTCAATTCTCTTTGTGTATTACTTCAAGCTCCAAAGTAAATCACATATGCTACCTGTACAATTCATTTGGGTTTTGGATTGATTTACTTTTATTTCATTTTTATTTTCATTTAACTTGCCATATTTTGCGTGTGCATTTTTGCCTTCTTACTGTTATTCCACGCCGACTCTTTAAATACTTTTATTTCATTTTTATTTTCATTTAACTTGCCATATTTTGCGTGTGCATTTTTGCCTTCTTGTTCTTTTATTCCATGGCTGGTAGCCCTCATTCATAATATTGGTTGACACCATGTCATCCATGAATTGAGAATAATAATAATAATATTAACTGATTTGAGGGAAAGAGACAAACGGGAAAAGTCTGAAGAAAAAATTGACTGCCACCACCAGGACTCGAACCAGGGACCCTCGCCTGTAGCCAATAATAATAATAATAATAATAAAAAGGTGAGTACGAGAGTAAAGGTAAGTTCGCGCCTGTAAAGGTGAGTACGAGAGTGAAAGTGAGTGAGCGCCTGAAAAGGTGAGTTCGAGTGTTCGAGTGCGTGCATAATGAAATCGTGAACCTAACATACTATACCGTCAAATCCCGCCAGAGCGAGCCCCGTCTCTCCTATCCGCGCCCCTCCCTGACTTCTTGTCAGGGATGTATCCTCGTATGACTCTGTCGCAGTCTGTGATGCCGTACTGTACTGCAGACGCGTGCTCCACCCCGTTGGAAATGTACGCAACAGTGCCCACCTCTTGATCAGGGATCACACAAACCCTGAGTTTTGACGGGTCTGTACGACTCCTGGCTCTTGACCTTTGGTCGGTGTACGAGATGCACGAACAGTTTTCGTAGGGTGAGTACTTTTTCATGTTGCACTGAATGCGGCAAGTAGGACTCGCCCATCCGCCCCTCCCCACCTGAAGCGACGAGGAGGTAGGGGCGCTCTGGCGGGATTTTACGGTAGAAGAGTTTGGGGTGGCAAACGTACTGTATGACGTGTATCGCATAACCTCTATAGTCGAACCGAATGTTGTCTGTTTATAATGCTGTCGACTTTCTAACAGGAGGTCAGTTCCAGTAACACTGGCCATACTGACCTTTGGGAAACTTGTGTCTTGTTCAGTGCCTTGTCTTTCTTTACTGGTTTATCAGGATGGCTGGTTTTCGCGCTGCTTTCCTCGTGTTGATCATGTGCATCGGTTCGCGTCCCACCGCCACCGCCGCCAGCAACAATGAGCCGAGCCAAAGCGCCGCAGCCGGTTCGTATCGTATCGTGGATTCTGAGGAAGACTGCAAGGATGGTGTGATCGAGTACCTGCCCCTGGGTGATGGCGAGCGAATGATCGTGTGCGGGAAGAACGGTCTCGGCCAGTCGAACCATGCGGTCGAGTATGTAAGTAAAGAGGACGGTGCTGCCACTGCAACCACACCCCAGTACGGCGTTGGCAATCACATCATCCGTGAGCATGAGGCGACGATGCCACCAACCCCAGGCCCAACGACGACCGTGCCCACCACACAGATAATGACGACAACCTTTAGAGAACCAACGTTTATCCCACCAACAACCCGCGCAGTTAACGATCCTAATGGTCAACCGGGCGTTCCTGTAAAGGCACCAGCCAAAACTCCTCCTATTCCAACCACTGCTACTGGCACTGCAGGTTCGTATCGTATCGTGGATTCTGAGGAAGACTGCAAGGATGGTGTGATCGAGTACCTGCCCCTGGGTGATGGCGAGCGAATGATCGTGTGCGGGAAGAACGGTCTCGGCCAGTCGAACCATGCGGTCGAGTATGTAAGTAAAGAGGACGGTGCTGCCACTGCAACCACACCCCAGTACGGCGTTGGCAATCACATCATCCGTGAGCATGAGGCGACGATGCCACCAACCCCAGGCCCAACGACGACCGTGCCCACCACACAGATAATGACGACAACCTTTAGAGAACCAACGTTTATCCCACCAACAACCCGCGCAGTTAACGATCCTAATGGTCAACCGGGCGTTCCTGTAAAGGCACCAGCCAAAACTCCTCCTATTCCAACCACTGCTACTGGCACTGCAGCCACCATCACACCGTCCATACCACCCTACCAAACAGCGCAGTTTAAACAAAAGGGGGCTCGTAAGTTTCTTGTCGCAATAGTGCTGCTTTGAAGTTATTTGATAACAAATTGGTTGTGGAAAATGGGTCATGCACCAGATGAAATGCTTGAAGAACGCAAGCAAAGAAAGCAATGGTGACAAATCCGGTCAACTAAATAGGCAAAATCCAATTAGGGAAGAAAAGAAAAGAATCCTGTCAACTAGGGTGCTACTGCTTTGACCACACTGATCAGCCTTGCAATGAATGCTCTGTCTGACTTTTCCCGTCCACACACCACGTCATTTACTCTTCTCTGCGTGCTGCGTGCATGCTATGAACTCTTTGTGTTCCCTCTGTTGACACTGCAAAATCGCTCTGTTGACGCTGCAAAATTGCTTATCATCTCCCTCTCTCTCTCTCTCTCTCTCTCTCTCTCTCTCTCTCTCTCTCTCTCTCTCTCTTTCTCTTTCTCTTTCTCTTTCTCTTTCTCTTTCTCTCTCTCTCTCTCTCTCTCTCTATCTCTCTCTCCCCGTAGCTCTCTCCCTTTTGAAATTCGCTTCCATAGAATTGGGCACCATTGCCCGTTTGGCCTTGCGAAGTAAAATAAAAATCAACAACAACAAGCCTCCCCTAGCCACACCATCCTTGCATGTCTATGACCACGTTTTGGTTGTCCCGACCCTTCTTCTATCCACTCTGCTCGCTGATTAGTAAGGCTATGTTTGCAAGTAAAAATGAGGAAGCAAAAAAGGTGGTTGGATGCCAGCTAAAATTGGATCGGAGAGGAAGGCGAAGCTGTCTTTGTCCTGACTGATGCATGGCGGGGAGGCAACACATTCTCAGTTCTGTTAAAACTGAAAAAGCACAATGCAACTGGAGTTATCCTGGGCAACTCTCGCTCAGCTTGGTGCCCTGCTGTTTTCTGATTTTTTCTTATGGTTGTTTTAGCTACAAAAGTAATCCATGTGGTCGCAACAGGGTGTGCAAAGACTTGTGGATGGGAGGTTCTTTTCAGACTTATAGTCATCAACGGCTGCTTTTGCCAGGATACAAGAGAGATGGTGAGTGTTTAAGGGAACTGGAGTGTGGTAGCAGCGGAAGCGCTTCCACCACGATGTGTGTGGCCATTTCAGTATTCTCCTCCTGCTGCTGTTGCTGTTGCTTTTGCTCTTGTTTTTGTTGTTGTTTCAAATCTTTATTCTTACGATAGCCAGTGGCCAATAAGAGATAATAGTGTGAGAGAGGAGAAAGAGTGAGGAAGGATTGGGTGGGCAGGGCCTAGGGATAATGACTATTTTGGGTTGTTGTTGTTTGATTGAATTCTTTATTCTCACGATGGCACCATCGCCAATAAGAGATAAGTTTATGAGAAGGTGAGATGCTGTGGGTTATGCAGTTGGAAAGTGATTTACATCACTTTGAATTTTACAAGTACAGTGTATGTTGTTGTTGTTATTATTGTTGTTGTTAGGCTTTCCCCAAATCGGCCCGTTTTTTCGCCTGTTCGGCTTTTCTCCAGGCTAAAAAAAACATCAGATTCGGCTGAACAATCGGCTGCAAAATTGGAATATATTGCAAAATCGGCCAAAAGAATTGTTGGCATATTGGCTTTAATATTGCACTTTGCAACAACATTTGGTAGATTTTCGGCGATTCTCAAAAGAACCCTCCAAAATCCGTGAACAGCTAACCGATTTTTCGATAAGTCATGTGAAGTCAGCGAATTTTTGGCCCGTCGATTTGGGAAAGCCTATCGACGGTCATGCTTGCAGCAACATCATTCGCTCGTAAACGCACTTTGCAACATTTGGTAGATTTTCGGCGATTATCAAAGGAACCCTCCGAAATCGGCAAAAAGCTTAGCGATTTTTGATAAGGCTCGTTTTCGGCGAATTTTTCGGCTGGCCAATTTGGCACCATCGCCAATAAGAGATACGTTTATGAGAAGATGAGATGCTATGGGTGGGGCTGTTTTTTTTGAATTTTGAATTCTTTATTCTCACGATGGCACCATCGCCAATAAGAGATAAATTTATGAGAAGGTGAGATTGTGGGTTAAACAGTTGGAAAATGATTTACATCACTTTGAACTTTACAAGTATGGGAGAGGGTGAGCGCTGCAGGAGCAGATTGAGTTAATCAGCAGTGAGCAGATTTCTTGTATGAAAGCAGGTCGGGAGGAGACGTCACGAATGCTAGCAGGGAGGGCATTGTAGTATTCTAGGGACTTATACAGTGGGGAGTCTTTACAGCGATCGGTTCTGGAGGGTGGGAAGTGCCAAGTGCGTGCGTGTCGAAGGCTGTACTGGGCCGTAACTTGAGCGGGGGTGTTGAGCATGCGTATGAGCATGCGTATGTGTTGTGGGGCATATTGGTATTTTATGGAGTGAGCAAGAAGGGTGAGCTTCACTTTGCGGCGAGAGAACATTGTCGGCCATTTGAGCCGATGGAGCAGTGTTGAATGATTCAGAGGAGTGTAGAGGGGGAGACGGAGGCAGATTCTGGCCGCCTTGCGCTGGATTCGCTCAAGACGGTCAAGGGCTGCGATTGAGAGCGGGGTGACAGCAATGCATGCATATTCAATTATAGGCAGGATGTATGTTTTGTAAATGAGCGAGAGTGATTTAGTGTGTAGAGTTGATTTGAGCCTAAAGAGAATATTAAAAGATTTTACGGCTTTCTTCAGCACAAAGTCAAGGTGGGCTGACCATCTTAGGTCGTGCTGAAAGATGATGCCGAGGTGACGATGTTGTGTTACTGTTTCTAGTAGGGTTTGGCCAAGTTTTATTTCGGGTAGTCGTGGTGGGGATCGGTTAGCATGGTAGAACGGGAGGATGACGGTTTTCGTTTTATTGACTAGCAGGTGCCAGCGCTCTAGCCATTCTGCTGCGGCATCGACGCTTCTTTGTAGCGCAGCCTCGCACTCAATGTAGCTGCCTGCAATGGCAATTAGTGCGGTGTCGTCCGCGAACTGGTTGTAGCATTTTCACAGGCAGTGGGCAGGTCAATGGTGTACGCCAGGAACAGAAGTGGTCCCAGGACCGAGCCCTGGGGCACTCCCGCTGGTATTGGTATGAAGGCGGATGTTGTGCCTTCAACCTGCACCAGCTGTCTGCGTCCTGTCAAGTAGGCTTCGAGCCACTTGTGAGCCTTGCCGTCACCACCGTAGTGGCTCAGCTTTTTCAGCAAACCTTGATGCCATACACGATCAAAGGCTTTACTAAAATCGAAGAAGCACGTAATAACATGCTTCCCCGCATCCCTAGCTGTGGATATCTGGTGGACGATCCGTGCGAGTTGCAGTTCGGTCCCGTCTTGTTTCCTGAAGCCGGATTGGTTTGAGGGTAAGTGCGGTGCTATGTGATTGTACAGACGAGAGTGTACTATTTTTTCGTGTTTTTGATATTATACTGAGCAGGGAGATGGGTCGGTAGTTGGTAGGATGGGAGGGGTTGTCCGACCCGGGGATCGGTGTAATAGTTGCGTCTTTCCAATCCTGTGGTATTTCTCCGGTTCTGAAGGACAGATTGTAGAGACTAGTGAGAGATGGGGAGATTTCCTTTGCAATTTCTTTCAGGAGCCGAGTTGGGATGTTGTCAAAGCCTGGGCTCTTGCCAGTGTCTAGACTGCTTAGAAGCTTCTCGACCTCTTCCACTGTTGCTGCGATTGTATTTAGAGTATGACTGATGTCAGGGGTAGTATTGATGTCTGGTGTAGTACAGGCGGTCTTGTCGATGGACTGTTGGCTTTGGGAGATAAAAAAATTGTTGAGAGCTGTTGCCTTCTCCATAGCCGTGGCTGCAGTGGAGTTGGCTGTCGATGGTGTGGGAATTGTTTGCTTAGGCGGTTCCTTCAGGTGATTCAGTAGACGGTGGAGGTTTATACCCGTTGACGTTGTTTGCTGGACAAAATCGGACTTAGCCTGTCGCAAAAGAGTGGTTACTCGGTTACGCTGGGCTGTGTACAGTTTCCAATCTGAGTCTAGTTGGGTCGCCTTGTAGGTGCGGAACTGTTTGTGCTTTGTTTTGATCTGGCTGAGGAGATCCTTTGTCATCCAGGGACGAGTGGGCGTAGTATTTTTGCGGGATTTGCTTCTGGTCACTTGGCGGTGGTGCACGGCTAGTTTCAGTATCTGGTCTCTCCAGAAGTTCCAGAATGAGGTTACTGGCTGAGGGTCAGTGGGATATGGATCGTACTGCAGATTGCAGGTAGCAAGAGCTTCACGCAGGGACGCAATGCGTTCCTCGCTCCACAACCAGTATGTGCTGGAGGTGCTCTGCTGTGTAGCATACTGGCCAACCCTCCCGTTTTTCCCGGGAAAATCCCGGAAAATCAACACTCCTCCCGGGGTCCCGGGTATTTCAAGCAAACTCCCGGAAAAACCACAGTTTTGTCTGATACAGGATTTTCCTGAAAACTCCGTGGTTTCTCCCCGAATGTCCCGGTTTTTTGAACTTTTTTCAAAGGTATGTACAGTGCTCACTCGCACTTCGAACTGTGCACAGCACATTCACGACCTGGCCATGCCTAGCCTGCAAGATCTGCACTGACAAAGGTACAGGCGGGCGCCGACTCATCAAACTGCACTACAGGGTCGAACTGTGCTGTACGCAGAGCTGCAAATCTGCAGGGTCGAACGTTTTTGGGGCGAGAAAAGCTCTTTTTCACTTGTTTTTGTGCCATCCAGGGATTTTGAGAGAAATCCAGGGATTCTGCATGTATTGTCAAGGGATTGAGATCTTGGTGGTTGGTCAGTATGGTGTAGTACTGCTCTCATTTTTATTTTTATTATTATTATTTAGGGGTGAAACAATGGACCGTATGCATGTTAAAACAAAATGGCGTCACGATTTATTGAAAGTGGTGTAGTTGGTGGTACGAGTGTTCAAACCCATTTGAACTTCATACTGTTCGTCTTCTTTTTGACATGCTCTCTTTCCATCGTCCTTAGCTTTTGTTTGTTGAGAGCTGTTTTGGCTTTCTCCTATACCTCTGGGGGATGCCAAGTGATGGTGTTGAGAGGCTGGTGATGGCTGTGAGCGAGAGTTTGCCGATCGGCGTCGTCCTCGCTATAGCGATGAAAATACTAGTTACTGCGCACCTGGCAGATATCACAACACGTCGGAGCGTCCAGGAGCAAAGGAATCTTGGGTTTTCACTGGAATCTAGTTCCTCCAGCATCGTGTAGCCCACCGTCGGTGAATGGCGGTCCAGAAAGTTCGAACCTGGTCTTCTGCAGCATCTCGCAGTCCTGCGAGGCACACTGAATACGCCTGTCATGTATTCTACAAATAAAAATCACGAAGTAGTGGACTTTACAGTGATGAGTCTATCCTGTATGCTGCAAAAGACGCAGGAAATGTGACTGGTGTCCGTACACTGGACGCCAATATCATCCCAGTCTTCTCCTGCAGGATCTGTTTGACATTGACATACCGGTATGCAGCGGGTCGACATTGACCTGGTTTGGCAGCTATCTGCCTGGGTGGATGTAGCAGGTTTGCATTGGCGCGTCGTCCAGTCCGACATTTTCTTGTAACTGTGGAGTACCAGCAGGGTTTGAGAGGTTGCTCGTGCTGTGAACACATCTCTACTGCCTGTCTCGTCCTGGAAGTGCCGTCTCGCTGCTTCCTTGCTCTACAGTCACGCCGTTATTTCGCTTTGTTTCGTGGTGCAGCTCAAAACCTGCCCAAACAACTGTGAGCTCGCAACATGGTATGGACAAATCGCACCACTCATGCTGGTTAACTAAAACCGGGATAGTCGAGTAAGCGAGTTCACTCCCTGGGCCATGGCAAGATCTGTTCAGCGCGGGCTATTCCAACCTCCAAGTGCATAGTCACCGATTGATCCATGCGATGGTGGTTGACCTACAAAGAGCCAAGGTCTACGAGTACTACTATTGGATGCTGTCTTCATGCAGTCAACAAAATCAAAGTACCTCAGTATGCCCCAGAATAGGGCATGTGCAGCTATAGCATGACACAACAGGGGTTCTGGCGGCGCCTGTCAAACAAGCAGTAGCGACTAGTGCCAGCTACCTATTGGAGGCTAGCCGCTA